CTGTGGATGAGAACTTCATACTCCAGACAGCTACAACATACATACCTTCAATACCATCCCATCCCAACCCTGAAGAATGTTCCTTTCATAGTACTGCCAGCATACTATTTATGCTGCTTTTTAACATGGAACAGAGTTTCTGGAAGGCTTCACAAAAAGGTGTGTTTTAGCTATACCTACCTTAAATGGAGAGCTGTATCCTACCAGGATGGAAACTCTGGCTGGTCCCATGAGCATTATTTGCCCTCTATCCAGTTCTGTAAAGGTTCCATGTTTTGATCAAGTGAGATGACATATCAAAACTAGAACTACTCACCATGAGCACCTTCAAACCCATGTTCACTGAGGTTTTGGACATGTCTAAAAAGAGAACACCACCCATACTGAAGAGCAACTGTTCAACATGAGTTCGTATGACAGAATATACTCCTCTTGCTGGGACCAAACACAGGGTTCAAGTTTCTTACAACTTAAGGAAAGCAAATGAAAAACCAAAAAGTATGTACAAAACACGGACAAGGAAATATTCCAAAAACAAGATGACCATCTTAAGGAATCAGGAAAAGTAGCTAAAGAGCAGAGTTGCTTCTTAGATCTTATGTCATAATTTGCTCCTGCCTAGAACGCAGCCTCTATTTACAGGCACCAACTTTGAAAACCTGGCTTGGAGAAAGCACAGCACCAAAGCTAGAGACGACAGCCCAAACACACTTGCCAAACTGTTTTACCTTGGTTTCAATGAGAAAAGCTGGAAATGCCAAGCTCTAAGCAAAGCAAGCACTAAAAGGGAAAGGAAACTGCCTGAATGAGGCTGTTCCTTCAGGGACACATGGCAGCATCAGACACCAAGCAGAGTGTCAGAAATGCTGATTTAATGTTCACTGCATGATGAAACACAGGGTGCTCAGAAATCAACAGGAGCACAATAAAAAGACATCTAAATCCTACTAGGTTTATCGTGCTTACGTTTTTAAGCTTAGCGGTCAGCATAGACACTGTAAAATTTAAGATTTCATTTTTTAAGCAAAGCAAAGAAAAAAATGTGAAAGAAGTAGGAGAGGAGAGAGCTTCAGTTCACGTGAATTTAATCAGGTGTTCACAGAAAGATCAGTCACAGTATCAGTTTTGTGATCAATTTATGGAATACACATTGTATTTGAGATTAGACAGGATACACTCTTGCTCGGAAATAATGTGCTAAAAACTCACCTGTTCCTTTCATTCTGAGATTCCCTTTGGTCACTGAAGGGTGAAAATGAAACATTTCTAAAAACATTCTGAAAACTTGTGTCAAAATCTGAACTAATATGTCAACAGCTTAATTCATATACACTTACCTCTGAGTACAAACGACTGCACTACCTGCTGCAGGAGAAAAGAATCCTAAATTATTTTCTTTCTATAAGGTACAATTTCAGGAATTAAATTATATTTTTAAATCCAAGCATTCCCATGGTCCAGGGTCAGAACACTTCTCTGCTTAAAATATCAATTACTTTTGGTTTCTGTGCTTCCTAAATTAAAAGTGAAGTACTGATGTCTTGAAACAGAAGACCACTTACACTGCTCTTAGTGTGACCAACAAATGAACTGGACTATTCAGAACAAGCAACCATCTTATCCCAAGATAATCCTTTATTGTAGGACAAACAAAACTTTACTAGGCAGCAATGTGCCCTGCCACGTATCTTTTATATAATATCCAAAAGTAACAGTGAATTATTTAAAAAATAGAATTAAAAAATCATTCGCTAAGGGAGCTCAGAACACAGCAATATCTACTTTCAAAGTATAACCCAGAGTGAAGGAGAGGTTTTTTTAGTATTTTATTCAATAAGGACATCGGCAAATAAAATTTCCACAGAAATCTACGCACAGCTTCCTAGAAATAACATTCCACAATTCCCTCCTTAGTTATCTTTAACCATCTGGTTTTCATATTCCCCGAGCAGCTTATTCAGGTTTCCCCCCCGGCTTGTGATTTTCCCATTTTGATTACTTTAATAAATAATGGACACCACAGGTGATCCTAGAGAAAAATCCACATCTCAGCACTGCATAGCTGGACAACCAAGTTCACTGGATGTCATCATCATCGAAGAGATCTTCAAAATCTAGTAAGAAAAATAAGGTAAAATTACCCTTAAAAGTTTCAACTGTTAGAAATGCACATACTCAAGTAGAGTACTTCATTATTAAAAACAGAAATAAAGATGAATTAAGTGAATGAGAGTTACTGCACCATCTATTACTGGAAATGTAATCAGGGTGGAAAGAGACAGCAAAGGCAGGCAAACCCATGGACATGTTCTCTGTCACGCACAGTTAAACTGCCCCACTTGTACAATACAAGCTGTGCAATCAAACTCATGAAAGCTAAGTTTAAAAGAAGGGGCTTTTATAACGGCATTAAGTAGCCATCACAGAGAGGATCAAGCAAGATTCCCTGAGCCCAGAACAAAGCACGTGCTAGCTTTATGCATGCAGCAAGTCTCAGATGTAAACAGTCCTGCAGAATCCTGGCTTTAGGTCACAGCATCCAGGCAAATCTCTAAATGCTGCAGACTGACATTCTCAAGTGGGATTTGCTGTTAAAAGTCCCTTCCTTAAAAACATTTCATTGCTTTGAAGGTGCTAATAACATTTCTCTCTCTGAACTCATTTCAGACTAGTGAAATGTGGTTGGCTACATTTCATCTTTGGAAAGTGCTCTTAACTACTCAGCTTTGTATCTTCTTTGTATATTGAGCATAAACTAACAACAGAACTGAATACAAGCCCTTATTCTTACAGAAGGCAGTCTACGTGCCATACAATAAACTGAGGATTAATCCTCATTTAGAAGAGTCCTAAAATACCAATGGAATATAATACCATGATGGTAGAACTTTACGGAAATACCTGCTCCTGAATATGCTGGCTCCAACACAGAGCTAGCTCCTTCACCACTCCTGAGAGTATAACTGAAAATTCCTTTTTCTCCTGCATTCTAAATGTTGAGAACCACGAGAAACCTACTTTATTTTGGAATTAATACCAGTTTGTGATATTAACACCACTACAGCAACCAGATTTAATAATGTATCTGAAACTCCCCGTTGGAATGTCTAAACATACTTCTTGAGAAGAAGCATAGAAAAAGCCTTTGTAATCAAGTGCAGTGTTCTATATTCTACCACTAAGTGGCCTGATATGTAGCTCTTTCCTCTCAAAGCAGCTGTCTATACTTATATCTAGGCTGAGAGAATTGGAATTGTTCAGCCTGGAGAAGAGAAGGCTTTGGGGTGACCTAATTGGACCTTTCCAGTACCTGAGGGGAGCTTATGGCAAAGAAGCAGAGAGACTATTTACAAGGGCTTGGAATGACAGGACAAGGGGGAATGGCTTCAAACTGACAGAGAGTAGGTTCAGATTGGATATTAGGGGAAAATTCTCCACTGTGAGGGTGGTGAGGCCCTGGCACAGGTTGCCCAGAGAAGCTGTGGCTGCCCCATCCCTGGAGGCGTTCAAGGCAAGGTTGGACGGGGCTCTGAGCAACCTGGGATAGCAGAAGGGGGGATGGAACTTGACGATCTTTAAGATTCTTTCCAACCCAAACCATCTTATGATTCTATACGCATACAGCTCACTTTCAAATGCAGAAACTGCATTAAAAACAGTGGTTTATTTTCCATGGGACACATATGCACACGTACTTTAAGAGATTAATGAACTACCTATGTAATGCCCAGACACAATTTTTTGAAGTCCATTCCACGTTTTTGTATCTATTTGCACAGTTTAATATAAGTTACTTGTTATGCAAACAGATAAAGGTATTTTTCCTTGTGGTGATCAATACCAAAACTTCCACGAGAGGAAAACCACGCATTTTACCGCTCCCGCCTGCATTATTTAACACTGAAGCGCTCTTACACCGCTCATCAGAGATGTAGTTAGTGAGTTTAGCGGCCACCAGGCACCGAAGATATGAGATCAGCGACAAGCGAGGTTTGCTGCGACACTCCTCAACCCCCCCGCCCAGCCGGCGGCGGTCCTTACCATTGAAGAAGTCGGCGTGCACAGCTTTCTCGTTGGCGGCCAGGTCCATCAGCAGCCCCGTGCTTCCCCCTGCCTGGGAAAGCAGCCGCTGAGCGCCCCCGCACCACGGCGGCACGGCGACGGCTCCCCCTGCTCACCCCTCACCTCGTCCAGATCCACGTACGGCCCGGCTCCCTCGGGAAACATCTCGTCCACCGCCGGCTTCATGGCGGCCCCTCTGCGCCGTCACTTCCGCGGGCAAGGAGGAACCGCCTCTCATGGCCGCCCTGTGGGCGGGGGCGCCGCCGTTGCCATGGCGAGGAGGGAAATGACGGCCACCATTCTGCTCACCCCGCCCTCCCCCTGTGGCGGGCCAAGGCTTGAGGTGAGGCACTGCCCTGCAGAGGGTGCGGCTGTGGTTTAAACTGGTGGTCCTTGCAGCCCCAGAATGGGCGGACTGGCCAGATAATTCCTGTACATACACGACTCCTGTACTCTCAGAGAGTGGTTTCCTGAGTCAACGCTGTGAGCATCATGGGTAAAGAAAGCTCCCAAAACTGTGCAGCAGAATGGAGGAGTTTATTGTTTTCACGCGAAAGGATAAATTGTAAAAAATTCAAAGCATGAAACGCTGCGTGCGACTTCAGTGAGTATCACTAAGTGGCTGAGGCCAGCCCAGCTGCATTTATTATTACCTCTAAGTTGTAGAAAAGAGACTAATTTAAAGCATGAAATTCTGTGCATGGCTGTGGTATCACAAAGTGGCTGAGGGCAGCCCAGGTGCGTTCACTGGCAGATATTCGCTCTAACACCTTGGCACCCATAAATTGTAAAAAGGAAACTAATTTGAAGCATGAAACGCCGTGTGTGACTGCAGTGAGCATCACGAGGCGGCTGAGGGCAGCCTAGGTATGTTTACTGTCAGACAGGTATTCACCCAAACACCTCAGCACTGGCTCTAGCAAAGCCGAGTGAGGCACTTAGCGCTCGTGGTCAGGCACGTGGTAGCCAAGGTGGCTCCCAAAAGGGAACTGGGCAAAAAAAGCTCTGGCCATTTCATTGATCCTGTTGTAGGCTCCCAAGGTCCGGAAATATTCCACGTAGGACCAGAAATCGTTGGATGAGAAAGGCCAGTATGGCAAGGCTACAGCTTCCTGGTACAGATCTTAAAAAAAAAAAAACCAAAATAAAATGTTGCAGATTACTGTAATACAAAGCATTTTTGTTGAAACCTTGGTCCTGGGAGCCAATATGGTTTGGGGTTGTGGGTTTCCTAATGGGGCTTATGGGCTCCTCTGGCAGGAGAGAGGCAGGGAGAGCCTTCGACCCCTCTCCATCCCTCACTCTGTAGAAGATGAAGCCAGTATTCCCTGCTCCTGATGCACTAGTGTGACAGAGCGGGACAAGATGGAGAGGAGCAATGAAGGCACACCATCCACATCTAGGGCAATTCAAGAATTCATCAGGCTGATTTAATTGCTAGAAGGCTGCTGATTATTTAAAGGCAAAGAGTGGTTGCAATTGAAAGCCATTTTTTCTCACTCCACACAATTTGCTTTGCCCAATATAAAAATATAAGGAATAAGGCACCATCATCTATACTCTGACCCTGCAGCTGCCCACTCTGCCCACAGAGCTCCCCAGGACTGAGGCCATACTTCCCTGACATTGCCTGGGACTGCAGTTGTCCTCTTCTCAGAGGGCTGTAGGAAACAGGCTAAGGGAAGGGAAAGGAAAGGTTTTGCCGCCTGGAAGACAGCTGTTGTATTTGTGCCTGCTCTAGGAATATCAGAAAAAGTGGTATACTCATTGAAACGGTTTCAAATTCAGCAGGAAAACAAAGTCAGTTCTGAAAATACAGAAGCTGACCACCCTTGGGCCCAAATCTGGGCAAACACAGAAGCATATATAACATATAAACACTAGCTGAGACCACATAGTTACAAATGTCTTTCTGTGCAGCAAAGCTAAATCTAGTATTTTGTTTTGATTTAAAGCCTATTTAGATGAATGGGAGCCATTCCACTCAGCTTGGGACCAGGGTCTTTAGTAGGAATTAGGAGCCTTCAACAATCCTGTTGTCAGAGCTTAATTTTATGGAGTAAAGTTTGCAGTGCGCAGGCCCAGATGGCACATAACCAAACAAATGAACCAGTGAAATGCTGTCTGCAGAGGAGAACTCACTGTTAATACCAGCTGACCTTAGATTCACTTTGCAGGCTGCTGCTTGGCCTAGTGTGAAAGAAAACCATAATTGCTGGTAATGAGAGCAACAGAACACTGCCTGAAGAGGGTTGTATTTTCACATTGACACACGCTCCTCTGACCGTCTCAGAAGGTTGCTGCAGAAGTATTTGCTGTGCACAAACGCAGGTGATACATTCAAAATATTTTAGAGCTATGAAGAAATAGATTGGGGCATAGGGGGACAGGTTTGAATTATAACTTAATATTAGACCTTATTCTGTATTTCTGCAGTTCATATCTGTTATAATACTCTGCGTATTTGTATCTGTGCACTGGACATGCTGCTGGCTGTCCTGCTGATTAACTTAGATGTACACCAGCAATAGCAGTACCTGATTACTGTAGATACTTCTTTGCAATTTTGTTTCCAGACAGAATTCTGTCTGAAAAGCCAAAGAGAGGTTAACTGATAGAATCATCAGCAAGCCAGTGTAAACATCATTAGGGTGTTGAGGGTTTTTTATTTAATCAAAGGCAAACACTAATCCAATGGACTAATCACATGAAGCAACATGAACCACAGGGTAGCTTTGCTAAGGGATTTAGTCCAACATTTCTGTAATTGGATTTGTGGCAATTTGTAAATGTTAAGCTTTATGTTGTGGAGGCCAGTATCTCTTGCCAGTAACCAGATGCACATATAGTATTACTGTTCAGGACAGACAAAATCCTCAGATGTCTGATACACTTACAAGTCTGGTGCTTTCCAGTTATGATTTTGTACAACAGAATTAGTGACTTGACCATAGTCCCTTTTCATTTTAAGACTTTTAGTATATTAGCTCTATTATTAGACACTAATATTTCAGCTTTTAATAAATTTTAAAGACATTTCTAAAAGTTCCCCTTTTTTTCTCCACCAGAACTAGGTGAAAGCGCTTCCACAGCCCATTGAGGTTAGTGAGCGTTCCTGCCAAAGTCACTGCTAGGCATCAGGTCTGGGAGTTACAAATTACTCTCCTAATTATTAGTGATACAAAGCAAATAAAAATACATTAGGAATTACCATCTCCATCCTGGATGGATCGGGCATCTGTGAATAAAGAGGAAAACGCATTAGTACCAGCTTGTGCACAGAAAGACTTTCTGTTAATAAAAGGTTTCCTGTGTAGCCAGAAGATAACAGGGGTCAGGGTTAATGCCCATATAGGACCCTCTGCTTAGCCAAAGGATTTTTGTTTCTTGAACAGTAGAATAAGAAATTCCCCATTTGCAGTCACTCAGTGCTACAAACCAAATACTTATAAGTAACAGCCAGAACAGTTATGATTAATACACAAGTGATACTAAATAGAGGATATTGTATTCATAACAAAATATTTCTGGCTACTTGAAAACATAAACAAGGATAAATTCAGCAGTAATCTTACCTGTTAGCATGTTCATCAGCATGCAGAAGAAAAATAAGCCAGTAAATGTCATCGTTTCTGCAAGATAATGCTCGTGTTTCTGAAAAGTAATCTGTACAATTGAGGATTATTACAATACATTAATAATCATGCAAAGTCAATTATTCCTTCTTTAATAGAAGAATACATTCCAAAATAAAGTCTAATTATCAATTCAGGCATAACAAGATCCAATTACATTTCCTTACAGCTTCTGAACTGCAACACAGAGACCGGCAATCCTGAAGCATGTATTAATATTTTGCCTTAAGATGGCATAAATCCAAAAGGCTCCTCTGAACTGACATGAAATTAAGTGTCTTTAGAAATGTTTTATTTTGTGGTTAATTTACTTTCACTTTAGAAATTACCTTTCTCTTCTTTTCTTCTTCTTGCAGTAGTAAAGATATGGAGCTCTGTGTCAGCTAGGAAACACCAAAAGGATTTCTACTGCTGTAAAATAGCAGTGCTCAGTAAGGAAGGGTAGGGGGAAAACGTCACTGATTTTCTGCACCAATCTGGTTTTGTTGCCTTCAGGTATTTTAACTGCTCCAATTTGCATTATATTTCAGCACTGTCCATGGAAGAGACAGTGGACAGTTTCTGCAAGGAAATCAGAATCAACTTTGGCGATAACACTTTTGCTTTTTGAAGGCAGACGGAGAAAATCCAGAGGCAAATTCACTGATTGCTACCATTGCTGCCCTCTGGATTTTCTTTCTCTATAAAAATAGATTTTCAAAAACCTTATTTGAGCAAATTACTAAAAGGATATGGAATTCCCTCTCCAGCTGAGTCACAAACCCCACAAATGCTTGACACTGCTTTATGTTCTTACTTGGAATCCTTAAAACCTGGACCTTAAAGTGTACACAGGCACCAAGTGCCCACTAAAATCCATTGGGTTATGCTAAGTAAAGCAGGAGGTCCCCAGTGACCTCAGTCATGCTGGTGGTGCAGGTGCTTTCAGAGGGTCATTAAGGTGCATTGAAATGCATTTTCACATTAAACTGAATTCCTGGAAAGATTCCTCTGCCAACACCAGCTTTGGGCTCCAGCATATGCAGGTTGCTGAATGGATCCAGTGCTTTCAGAAGCCTGGAGGGGAGAGAGAGTTTGGAGAACACTCAGCTGACATGGACATCTTGATTGATTTTCTTTTATCATAAAACTCCTGATGGCAGTGGGTGGGGTCAAGGGCCTAAGGTGTAGCAGAATGTGTCCTGTGAGTCATGGGAAATGTGGGGATTTCTGTGCTCCTCGAAGACGTGGCTGTTGAGGTCATCTTGCCAAACCAGGCAGCTATTTCCAGAGGGCTCCTCTGCTGAGTGGAGCTACTGAAACACCAGTGCAGAGCTCACTGTGCACGTTCCTGCTGCAAGATCTGATCTTACAGTTGCTGGTCTGAGCTGTGCCCTCTCACTAGGCATTTTCAGTTGCCTTTATGATCTACAAAATCATTCTGTCTCAGTTCTAGACACCTGCATTTCCTAACTCTGTGTGTGTGTTGATGTTGGTGCTCTTGCTGTATCACATCCACCCATCTGCCACAGGAGTACAGAGAAAGTCTCCATACTCACAAAGTCCTGGAGGGGAGAGATCCAGGTGAATGGCCTTGCAGGAGGCCCCAGCTTTGCTGGAGTTTGTTCCTGTCTATGCGCAGAGTTAGGTAGTTCTGCCAAGAATTATTTCAGGATGTTCTGAGCAAGGGAAAAAAGGGTGCTTTGTAGCACACTAGGCTGTGCCAACTCTTGTGGAGGCTGAAAAGAAAAATATTATGAAGGCAGAATCTATTCCATCTTTGAAAGGCTTTAATCCTCTTGGTGAATATTTCCTAAGCCTGTAGGAAGGGTCCCTACATCAGCCAAGTTCTGCTGGCACCTTTGCCCCACTCCCCTGGATTGTGGCACTTCCCTTGCTTAGTGGAGTCCTGTGGTGCAGATGTACCCAAGTTCACCCACCAGCACTGCCTGCAGAGCCAAACTTTCCCTTTTGCTGCCTAGTCCGTATATCCTCTTCCAATAAACAATCAGAAGAACTGAGGTGTACTAATATACACAGAAAACAGTCATCAGCTGTAACTGAATAATTACCATGAAGCTCCTTCTGTACATATCTATCAGTAGCTTTTGGTTTTGGCAGTTGATAAGCAGGAGGAGTTCCAAGTGGGAGGTGAGATAACATATTCTGGATGATGACAAAGGAGAATAATGACGTTTCTGCTGCAGCCACATCCTGCAGCTCTACCCTCACGATATTAATAGTGCTGTAGGGGAATGACAAAGTCCCAGAAGTTATCGGACTCAGGGTCACTCTGGTCAAAACATGATTTGCTACAGCACTGGATTATCATGGGAGGATTCACGTAGCTATTGAGGTTCATGCTGACATACACCTTTACACCTATCTCCTTTACACCTTCCTGTTCTGTCCTTTGAAGCTTGGAGTTGCCCATTCCAGAACTAGGAGGCTCACCCATCTGACATTGTGTGACAGTCTTTTAACAATTACACACGTATAATTGAATTAAAATCCAAGTTTTCCAGTTGCTAGTGCACATATTGGAGATGAAAATAAATTCCCAGTGTTTCCATGTGTAGTGGTTTGGATCTTGTTTTCCCCCAGAGGCTAAGGAAAGTGGTAGACCCCAAGGGGTGGAAACCCCTGGAAGTTTTGAAGTTCTGCCCAATGGGCGCTCCTGCAAAAATGTCAACATCCCACAAGCTCACCGGAAGAGATGAGTTGTAGTT